TCTGATCAGTGAAGAGTACAAGTAGATTATCACCTTCTTATTCCAGGAAGTTATGTTTCTCTTAATGCAGCCCAAGATCAAATTAGATTTTTTTTGGCTGACATATCATGCATGTGATGACACATCATGAGTTTACAATCCACTTAAATCCCCATATCTTCTTTCAGACAAACCATGGCTAACCATAGTTCCCTCATCTTGTACTCGTGGAGCTTATTAAAAAAAAAACTCAAATGAAACTTTGCGTCTTTATTAATGGCTAGAAATTATATAGAGCTTTAAGCAGAGCACTTTACTTACGTTTTCTTTTTCATTTGATATTCACATCAACCCCACGAAGTAGGTAAAACTTTTATCTCCATTTTACAGCTGAGGAAACTAAGATTGTGAGAGGTTACTGAGTGAAACTTGCCTAGGGTCACACAGCTAACAGGTATCTGAGGGAGGATTAGAATTAAATTCTTCCTAACTCCAATTCCAATGTTTTATCCATTGTGAATTTTATTCTGTTCAACCCAATACTCTAGCTTGTCAGATCTTTTGGGATTATCACTCTGTAACCCAATGTGGTAGCTACTCCCTCCTAAATTTATGTCACCTTCAAATTACCCCATTACCTTTCCCTGGGAATAAATATAGATAATGTTTCATCCCACTTACTGACCTCCCAGTTAAAAAGGTACAACTCCATACCTATTGCCACTTCCATATGTGGCCTCTCAAATTCATGTAGAAAGAGTACCCTTTCTTTTTTCTCTACCACTTCAAAAAGACATTCCTGCAAACAGAAAAGTCAACACTTCAGTTCTGTTATCTTCATTATATTCCCCTCACCATTCTTTAAATCAGTATTTTGATACCATCCATGATGACTTATGTCTGCATGGGAGTGATATCTTAGGTGATGGTCAAAAAAGTGGTAGCATCTTTCAAAATGTTTTGCCTCCACAAATGCAGCTTGATATCATCTTGTTAACTGTACTGGGCTTTCCATTGTATCTTTTTCTGGCTTACCTTTCTTCATTCTCTCTGTTTCTCTTTCTCTCTGTCTCTCTGTGTGTCTCTGTTTTCTCTGTCTCAGTGTCTCTGTGTGTCTCTGTTATCTCTGTCTCTCAGTTTCTCTGTCTCTGTGTTCATCTGCCTCTGTCTCCGTGTGTGTATATCTCTGTCTCTCTGTTTCATACATAAATATATACATATGTATTGTGTATATATGTATACATGTATATATACATGTATATATATATATATATATATGTCAGTGCTAAATATATGCAGTTAATTCAAGGCAATTACGGGGTAGAGGTAGGGAGACCAGTAGATGGAAGGATGAAGGAAGGCCTTATGTGGCTGTGGAACTGAGCTTTGAAGGAAGTTAGGGATTCTCAAAGGTAGAGGTCAGGAGGGGAGTACTTCCCAGGCAGTCAGGCAGCCTGTGCAAACAGCAGTATGGAAGATAGCATGCCATGATTCAGGCGCAGCAAGAACATAGGATAACTGAAGGGTACGCAAGAAGCCCAGAAAGGCAGACTAGACTCGAACTGAGTAGGGCTAAAATACTAAACAGAGGAGTTTGTATTGAATCTTGACAGAAAGAGGGAGCCACTATATCTTCCTGAACAGGATATCCAGTTTGAAGTGCCCAAAAAGCAATTGTTGATGTGGACATGGAGATGAAGAGAGATAAGGGTAGAATATTATTTGCGTAGAGATAAATCAGCCTGAGAGAACCATAGTTACCTGTATACATGTCTTACCTCCTTTCCACTCCACTACACTGTAATCTTCTTGAAATTTTCATCTTATTTGCTGAATAAATATGTAATGTTAACTTAATGACCATATAAGATGATAGTAGGAATATGGTCAAATCAATTTACATGCCCAAGGTCACTCATTTAACAAGTAAGAGAGCAGGGACTAGATCTCTTAATTCCTAGTCCATTATTCTCTGTGTGTTTTGTCTTGTCTTTATAATTTACTTTTATGTCTCCCTAAGGACACACAACATTGTATTGTACATAATAGTTGCTCAATAAATATTGTTGATTGAGTTGCCATATTAAATAATTGTAAAGTGATAGACATGTCAAAATAGATTGTGACAGGTTGGTTTATAATAGCATACTAAAGGGAATAGGAGGAGGGATTGAATCTGCTCCTCACATCTGGAGGATCCTTCCCCTAGATCAGGGTTGGGTCTTAAAATACATACTGGTTGGAATGGTCCCCAATTATCTTTAAGGTGAAAAGATGCCTGGTTTAAATCTATGGCAGAGTCTCAAGTTGCAAGGAACCTCAGAGATCTTCTAGTCAGTCCCATTCATACCTGAGCAAGAATTCTCTTAGTTTCTTCCTGAAGTCATCCAGTCATGGGGAACTTACTGTCTCCTGGGGTAAATCATTTTATTTTCAAATAGGTCTAAGTGCTGGGTTTTTTTTCCCCTTACGTGTACTGATCTGTTTTTCTGCTACTTCTAACAATTGTTCTCAGTTCAGCTTTTGTGAGATATCTAGCTGCTGAGTTACTGTTCCAGATTTACTGTGTGTTGTGTTAGCTAACACTGTGCCACTGGGAAATGAGAAGGCCAAAGACACACGTGTCTTGCCTAGCTTTGGAACAGTCATAGATCATGTTTTATACATCATTGTATTCACTGCATCTAGGGTAGTGTCTTGCATATAGTTTGCACTCAGAAAATGTGTTGAATTAATGTGTGGTTCTCAGATATTAGCCTGTGGACCATTAATGAGGGAAGTGAGGCTCATTTTCTATAGCATACTTCATAGAGCTTTCAAGTTGATATTGAAATTTCCAAAGTGTAAGTCTGATCATGTCGCTCTCCTGCTCAAAAAGCTGCAAGAGGTCCAGATCCCGCCTTTAAGATCAAATATATTCACTTTTAAAACCCATTACAGTCTGGGCTCCAGCATACCTTTCCAGACTTATGCATGACTCTCTCTGTGTTCTAACCAAACAAACCTGTTTATTGTTGCCCATGGATACTCCATGCCTGGAAAGTTCTGTTTCTACATCTCTTATTCATAGAAGCAGCTAAGTAGATCAGTGGATAGAGTACTGCCTCTCAAGTCAAGAAGGCCTGAGTTCAAATCTAGCCTCTGACACTTACTCGCTGTATGACTCTAGGTAAATCCCTTCACCTTGAGGTCTACCTCAGTTTCCTCATCTATAAAACAGGAATAATAACAGCACCTACCTTCCAGGGTTGTTGTAAGGATTTTGTATATATAAATGCTAGCTAATATTGTTATAAATTGTTATAAACAATAATACCTAGATTCCTTCAAAGCTCAGCTCCCATGATACCACCTTCAGGGAATTTATTCTGATAGCCCTAAAATTACTTTGTATGATTTGGTATTTAATTTTCCGTAGCCTTGTTGTCCCTTCACTCCTTTCCCCAATAGAATGTAATCTCCTCCAGGTCAGCGTCTGATTAATTTTTGTTTCATTTTTGTTTCATCCTGGGCACCTTGTATAGTGCCTGGCACATAGTAAGCACTTAAATACCTGCTAAATGGAATAAGTTGTTGAGGTAGTGGCCAGACAGATGGTTTTGGATTCAGAAAGACCTGGGTTCAAGTCCAGCATCTAATATATACGTGATGAGTGACCATAGGCAAGTCACTTGATATCTCAGTGCCCAAGGCAACTGTCCAAAACTACAAATCATAGAGGAGTGGCTGATCTGCACCAGTGGATGTTAATGAAAATCAAAACATAGATTTAAAAAAAAAGAGGGAAAAATACATAAATAAATCAATCAATCAATAAATAAAACTAATGCACGCTGCTGAATTTTTTTAAAGTATTGTTTCAACAAAATCTTTGCTATTCTTCCTATTCATTTTGGTAGTGTGCAGAAATACAGTGTGGAAGTTGGAGTGACAAGAGGAAAAATTAGCCACAGGGTCTTTCACCCTATTTGAGTAGTCAACAGACCAAAAAAAAAAAAAAGTTTTTTTTTTCCTTTAGAAACTCTGACTTGCCTAAAGCTGGCTGAAGAAATCACTATTTCCTTCCTCACATATTTCATCTGGAAACTCTCAGACTTAGTGTTTCTGATACACTATGGTTAAAAAAAAAAAACAAGCAAAGTTCTTGAGTTTGCTACTCTGGAGGTACTTAAGGAAATAATTATTTTGTTATTATTTAATATTTTATTTTTCCCCAATTACATGTAAAATAATTTTAACATTCTTTAAAAATTTTTCAATTTTCAAATTCAAATTTCAAATTTTTTAAATTCCACATTCTCTCCCTCCCTCTCCTCCTCTGCATTGAAAAGGCAAGCAATTTAACATAGGTTATACATGTATAATAATACAAAATGCATTTAAGGAAAAAATTCTTAGGAATCATTTATCTGTGGCCTAGATTGAGTTCAATGAATTCACGAGTCAGGAAGACATACTGAATGACCCCTTAAGCTTTCTTCTAACATGGCAATTATACCATAATTCAACAAAATCATATCAATTGTTTTCTGGTTTATCATCATAGACAAGAACTAAAAGGAACCTAAGATATCATCTAGTACAACTCCTCATTTTCTACGATTTTGTGTATATTTTTTTTAAAAGAAAGCCTTGGTCTATAATGTTGATAGATATAGGATAATCTTAAATATCAAAACAGACCAATAGAATTGTGGATATTAGGAAACAGTGACCAACTAATAGAGGCTGGTTGCTACTATTTTCTTTTCCCCTATAGATATTTTCACAGAAGGTTTCTAATGCAATGTGATAGCGTTTTATAAAGGAGTAGTTCATAGATAATTAGAGAAATGATAATTAAGTCTTTCATATCCCCCAAACTCTTTGGAGTGTGGGAGAAAATTATTTATTTAAAGTGAAAAAAGAAGCAAAAGCTATTGTCTCTCCTAGAAGCTTATTTCAGTGTTAGTGGTGGACGTTAGTAAAAGCCCCATGTGAACCACTCAAATGCTACAAGCAGAGGACCAAAACCAATTTACCTTCCACTCCATCCCTGAAAGTTCAAAAATGAATTTACTTTTTCTTTTTCCTCTGTCCTTGGAAAGTGACTCCTTTGTCAGTGATGAGTTCTTTTCTATTCTCTCCAAAAGCCTCACACTGGTGTCTACAAAACCATTCTTGCAGTATACAGATTGGGGAATGCCTTTCTTCCTGCATTCTTGAACAAAATTCCACTCCTCTTTTATCCTAGAATAATGCAACAGGAAAAAAAAGTGGTTATAAAAATAGCTAATGTTTATAAAAGCACTTTCAGATTTTTCAAAGTCCTTTACATCTGTTAGCTCATTCAGTCCTCAAAATAACCCGGTAGATTAGTTATCTTCATTTAAAGATGAGGAAATTCAAGTACAGACTCAAGGTCACATAACTGTTAAAGGGGAAGAGAAGGGAAGGGAAGAATCATTTATTAATGACTTACTCAGTGCCAGACTCTGTTCTAAATACTTTACAAATATTTTTGATCATTTGATCCTCACAATTACCTTGAGAAGTAGATGCTATTATTATCCATTTTACTGTTGGGGAAACTGAGGCAGACAAAGATTAAGTGACTTGCCCTGGGTCACCTAAGTGGTAATAAGTGAGGCTGGATTTGAACTCAGATTTTCCTGATTCTATGTCTAGCAAGTCATCCACTACATCACAGCGTTTTAAGTTGTACTCTCACAGATAACATTTTAAATCTTTGAGGTATAGGGTAAGTCAGCTCTCATTTGTGCAGAAATTGATTTGGCTTCTGGATTATCCAAGTCCTTAGTTTTTAGAATTTAGTTTTAGTTTTTGTTCTTGTGGTTGTTGATATTTGTTGTGTTGCCAGCACCTACACCAGGGACGACATAAAGGACAAAAATATTAAATACAACCTTAACTCGACTAAACTGAATCTTGCAGGCAACACGTCCAGACTGGAGAACTGGAACCAATACCTTGTTAGAGGATCTAACTGAAACAAGAGAGATGGAGGAACCTAAAATTTTCAATTTCAGATTGACCTTTCTATTCTAATTATCTGTAATTAGATTACTCTGTGATGTTTGTGTTCAAATGGTAATTCACAGAATCTTCAAAAGTTAAAGACTGAAGGAGCTGTAGAAAGAGTCTAGCCTAGGGGTGGAGAATCTGTAGCCTTGAGGCCACATGTGGCCTTCCAGGTCCTCAAGTGCGGCCCTTTGACTGAGTCCAAGTTTTACAGAACAAATCCTTTTATTAAGGGGATTTGTTCTGTGAAGTTTGGATTCGGTCAAAGGGCCGCACTTGAGGACATAGAGGGCTACATGTGGCCTCAAGGCTGCAGGTTCCCCACCCAGGTCTAGCTTAACCATTTCAATTTAGAGATGGGAAACTGAAGCCCAGAGAGTCCATATGATATTCTCAAGGTTGTACAATAGTTTAGTGGCAGAGAACAACTAAGATGTAGGCATGCTGACACCCAGCCCAACGTTCTTTCCACCGTAACAGGAGGAAAAATAATTAAATATATTAGGGTAAAGTGTTCCTAACTTAGAAACTCTAAGTCACAAAAAAAATTACATAAGGCTTCCTTGATTGTCACGGTTATAAGAATTCTCCTTCATTTCCCTCCTAGAATCCTCTACTGCTGGTTTTGGGTCGTTTGTTTGTTTATTTGTTTGTTTCTCTTCACCTTTGCCCCATTGGCCCTGGTCCTCTTTGAAAATGAAGGACCAATAAAAACAATAGTAGATTCTGGCAATAGAACTGACCTTTCCCTAACTGAAATTCTCAAGCCCATAACCAGAGCTTATTCTGAGTTTCCCACCCTAAACTATTCTATGCTCTCTCCTCCCCATCAATTCTTGCTAAGAGTTCCTCACCAAGTCTCAACTTCTTCATATGTCCCTGTGTCCTGAAATATTTTTATATGTCTATTGAAATGGGTAGAAAGGCAAAGGAGAAAAGTTCTTATTGCCAAAGAAGAATAAGAAGAAATTCCATTTCTCCATTGAAGAAGAGTAAGGAATGGAGGAAGGAAGGAACGACAATCTCTTCATCACAAGTGGATGTAGAAAGAGGGGATTCGTGTAGATACTTCTTAGATACTTTTCTAGATACTATTGTCTTAGGATTGTGATGAGATGAGATTGACATAAACACAATAGAAAATTTCAGTGTTATTTAGTATACTTCCGGAATACTATGGGTTAAATAGATTTCTGTGCATTAGCCAAGAAAATAGCCACCATAAATAATGTTGTAGCTATAGGAAATGCTCTTCTAATACTCTCATTCATAAGAGTATACTGAGAAAATTGGCAATTGTAAAAACATCAACAAAATTCAGTCATTCAACAGGTCTATTATGAAGTTTTACTCCTGTGAACAAACTGGTTAAGTATAAATTTGAAGTTAAATCAAACTCTGAGACACATCTCATTACACCTGACATATCACTCTTCAATATCTCTTTCTTGTTATTCTTTCTGACATTTTTCACATGTTTATATGTTATCCTTGGTATTGCTTTCTCCCAAGGAGAAATACATATTGTGAATTAAGTTTTGCTGGGCTGAAATGGAGTTCTTTGGCTTGTCACAATTCACAGATGGCAGAGATATTATGTCTTTTATAAAAAAATTTTTAATTTAACAAGCATTTATTTTCACACTTTAACATCCGTTTCTTCCTCAATTTAAAATGAAAGAGAAGAGAAAAGGAGGGGAGAGGTGAGAAGAGGGGAAGGGAAGAAAATGAGGGAAGGGGAAGGGAAGAGGGAAAGGAACCATGGTAATAAATATGTATGGCCAAGCCAAACAAATCTCCACATTATCCACATGCAAGAATGCTTTCTTTCAGGCGGTGGTTAACATAGTCCGTCTTCATTCTCTGTAATTATAATTCATCATCATATTGATAAGAGTTTTTAAGTCTTTCATAGTTGTTTGCCTTTACAAAGTTTGTGTTATTGTATACATTGTTCTCTTGGTTCTGCTGGCTTCGTTCTGCATCAGTTCATACAAGTCTTTCCAGAAAGGTGCTGTGAGACATATTGTTTTTTCTCCTTTAGAAGGAGAAAAGTCAAAAACTTCAAGAAGTGAGGAAGGGTACATATATTTGAAATGAATGCCTCTGACAATGAATGGGTATTCAGTTTAACTTTTGGTCAGGGATTCAAGCAAGAAATGGATGGAATAGAGAGTGGAAAGGAAGATGAAATCTGAAGTGAAGCAACTGAGGTAGCAGCATCATGAACAATGATGCAGCCTGAAGTTTAGTAGAGGCAAGCCTAAAGTTGACTGATCTTTGTAGGACTGTTTCTTTGAAAGGACTGACAACAGGTAGGGATAGTTCCTTGTTGTATAGGGTTCATGTTAAGTCTAAAGCTTATCTGTTTGTTTTTGTTTTACTTTGCTTACTCTGTCATTTAATTGGCACTAATACCAGCTTAGAATATGATTAATCATAGTTGCTTTTGATTTGTATGTTTTGTTATTGTGAATGAAAAGTCGGAAAAAAGGGGGTAGTGGCTAGGCAAGGTATGCAAATGGGAGAAAGAAACAGAAAGCACAGATTCCCTGAATTGTGGGGGGAAGGAAGGAAGGAGAGAGTTAACTTTCCCTGCCTGGGAGCTCCTAAGCTATATAAGAGAATTTTAATGATTTCCATATTTTATACTCTTCTTGAAGCAGAATATATCTGGTCCTTTATTTCCTAGCTTATAAAAAGAGCTTAAAATAGCATTTTGTCTGTCTAGGTGGCTGTGGCAGTTAAGTAACCCTTCAAGATTTTATTCTCCTGCATGGACACACAGAGAAAAGCCTCTATAAGAGTGGCTTCACGGACAGTGACTAGAGAGTAGGCCATACCTGATGGGGTATGAGGAATAGTTGGACAAGACTTATGATATTAATATTCTAATGATAATAAGACTGGTAAGTTTAACATTCCAAGGGTGGGGGCCAGAGGAAAAGGAATATATTTACATCCTATACTAGTCTAACAGAATTTTTTCACCTTGTACAAATTACCCTTACAGATATACTACTATGTGTATTTAATCTTCCCTATTAGATATATGGCAACTCGTAGCTGACCACATCTATCTATTCAAGGCAGGAAGGTGGATGGACAAGAGGAAGATAATGACCTTGCCCTCTGGGTTCACTTTTTAGCTTCTACAGGTGTTAAAGTGTTCAGAATAATATTTCTCTTTACGTGGTTTTCCTGACAGGATCCTTTCTGAGGATGTAGAGACTTTGAAAGTTATTTTGGCAGGAATGACAAAATCTGGAATCCCACTTTGCAACCCTCAGAGAGACCAAGAGCCTGAGCTTTATAACCACTGCTAATCATGCAGAGGCTTGTACAGAAGGCCCAGTGAAGACAGTAGACTTTCTAGTGAATGCATTAAAAAACTAACAGTTGTAATGTCATAGTTTTCATCCCACAGTTGTCGACACTTGGCCAAGAGTAACTTTAACCTACTTCACAGGCTGTGAAGTCTCTGAAATTTAGAAGATTGTCTTATCTTCTCCTTTGCTCCCATTTTAAAGAAAGAGATTTTTTTTCCTAAGGTTATCTAGTAATAACTCAATTTGTAGCCTTGACCCTATCCTCTTCCATGTCTTACAGGAGCTTACCCCCTTGACTGTCACTGATATCTCTTTAATTTTCTATCTCTAATGACCTTTTCTCAATCCTCATCTTTCTTGAGCTCTCTGCAATAATAGTAATAATAATAATAACAACAACAAATAGCACTAATACATCTTTTAGAGGTTTGCAAAGCCACCAAGCTACTGTTATCATCTCCTGCTTAGGATTCTTTTTTGGGGGGTAAGGCATTTGGGGTTAAGTGACTTGCCCAGAGTCACACAGCTAGTAAGTGTTATGTATCTGAGGTCGGATTTGAATTCACGTCCTCCAGACTCCAGGGCTGGTGCTCTATCCACTGTGCCACCTAGCTGCCCTCCTGCTTAGTATTCTTTACTCATGTTTTTCAAGACATTCTTCTTTCCTGGTCCTCCTCTGAACAGTCTTTCTCAGTCTTCTTCACTGAATTTTCATCCATATCTCACCTCCTAAGTTTGGTTTTTGCTCAAGGTTCTCTTCTGGTTCCTTTTCTCTTTTCCCTCTATATATCAGCTCCAGGTGGTCAATTTTCATCTCTATGCAGATGATTCTCAAATCTTTCTATCCACCTGTAGTGTAGTATAGAGCTCCTGTCCTAC